ATTGCCATAGGAGTGGGTCGTGCCATCCGCCAGCACCAAGTCCACTGCGTCAACGTACCAGCCCCCCTGCCCAGAGATGCAGACCACCTCGGCCTCGGCCTCGGCAGCTGCGCCGCGCTCGCAGTCCGCGGTGGTGGCCGCGCCTGCGCCAGCAGCAGCAGGGGCAGCTCGCGCGCGACCTCCGCGGCCAACCACGTCAACGCCAGAGCCTGTCTCGCTGACGACAGCCTTCACGGATCCTCGCAGTGCCATTGGCCCACCCGCACTGTGGACACGCCCTGCAAGCGAGCGGCCACCCCGGGCGGGCTGGGCACCGCCCTCCCTCATCGCCCTCGCTCTGCTGCGGGACCTCGCCATGCTTTCGTCGTGAGGGGCTCCGCAGGACGCGGTGGCGCCCGCCGTCCCACGAGGCTCTGCCCTTGGCCGCGCGTGCGCCGGCAGTGGGGGGGCTGGGCACGCTGAAGATCGCATCGATGCCGCCGCAACCGTGGAAACAGCCGGCGCGTGGGCGGCCAGGGGCAATCCGAGGAGGTGGTCTAGCAGCTCCTTGCGGTGGAAGGTGTTCTTGATGTAATTGTGGCACATCTTCGCACCCTTCTTGTTGGACTCGCTGTCCAGAGACACAAGTTCGCATTTGGTCTTTGCCTCCAGCTGCTGCTCCTCCTGCCCCTCTATCAGCGCGTTGTAGATGTGCAGCGCGTATTCGTGCGGCGAGTGATGGTCGTCTTTGTGGTGCGCAGAGAAAATGCCGCCTGTCGCACCCACATGGTGACGCACTCGTTCGATGTCCGCACGTACGCTTACAGCGCGGTAGGCATTTGTCATTATCCTTTGCTGCGCTTCCGTAGTTTGTGCCACAGGTTCTGCCCGCGCCCCACCGAATTGCAATTTGCTCGCTATGTCTTCCTTGAAGAGTCTGCGCCAGACACTCTGCGCCCAACCGATGTTTTTCCCAACCAACCTGTGGTTGGGTCCTCGTTTTGGCGAGACCATGCCCCGCGTTCCTTCCTCCTCTCCTCTCCTCCTCCTCCCCCTTCTCCCGCCTCCCCCCTCCTTGCCTCTGCCCTCCGCATATCCTCATACGTCGGCACACCCTCACAAGTTTCGTGGCCCCGTGGGGAGCTCCACCGAAGGCCCCAATGGCAGGGTTCGCATGGCGCCACCGGACCCATTTCGGCACACCCCTCAAACGCTTCGTGGCCCCATAGGGAGCTCCACCGCAGCCCCCAATGGCAAGGTTCGCATGGCGCCACCGCACCCACGTCGGCACACCCCGGACACGCTTCATGGCTCCATAGGGGGTTCCACCTTAGGCCTCAGTGGCAGGGTTCGCATGGCGCCACTGCGCCCATTTTCGGAGCACCTCTTACACGTTTCGTTGGGTCCCTTAGAAGGCCACAGTGGCAAGATTCGCATGGCGCCACCAGAGCCACTTCGGCACACCCCTCACTCGCTTCGTGGCCCCACAGGTAGCTCCAACGAAGGCCCCAGGGGCAAGTTTCGCATGGCGCCGCCGCACCCATTTCGGCACACTGCTTGCACGTTTCGTGGCCCCATAGGGAGCTCCACCGAAGGCGGCGCTCACACCTGCGGTACTCGCAACTGCCTATGGTTGGGTCCTTCGCCAGTATAACTTTGCGCCGTAGGCTGTGTCAGCCAACATTCGCTGTTTTAGACATGAAAAGCACAATCGCTGAGCACCCGAGCTACGTCGCCAAGTGCGGTGGCGGACATGCGCGGCAGCGCAACTGTATAAGCACTCCACTTCTCCAATATCTCCTCCCCCTTGGCCTGGCGCTTGAAGAGATTCTTCGTGTCTGGCTGGCCATGCCCGTGCACGCCCCCGAGTACGGCCGCCCAAGGCCTGAAGCGGCAAGTGGCCAGCAACTCCGTGATGGCGTAGGCGCCAGCCGAAAAGCCCAACAACGATACGCGCTCGCTGTCGATGTGTGGATCTTCTGTCAACGCCTGCAACCAATCGGCCAGGTGTTCCGCTCTCTCGCGCCGGAATAGGCCATCGACCCACGACCAATCGCTGTCGCCCTCAATGGTCCACCAGTACCCCTGCGGTCTCAACGGCGTGACGAGCACGAAAGCAGACGTGGCTAGCCGAGCGAGCGCCTGCGGTTCGATCTCTCGCATGGCATCGTCCTTCGCCCCGAGCCCAGCAAAATAGACCAGCAACGGCAACGGTCCCGCATGCTGCCCGCTCTCGCAGCGGGTCCCAGCTGGCTCCACGAGCGTGGCCTGGAAGCGCACGAGCGCTTGGGGGCTGTCGTCCTCTGCTTGTGGCCACTCCAGGGTCACGCCCTCGCCCTGAATCCAGAACGGCCTTGGCCACCTGCGTCTGCCAGACGCTGGCGCGCTCGCGCTGCTGCCACTCCTGGACCTGGAGCGCGCGGCGGGCAACGAGGGCGCGGCACGGTGCCGCGAGCTGCGCGCGCCTCCTGTGGCCCTGGATGCTCGCGGAGCTGGCGGCCCACCCGCCGGCGGCGCGATCCTCGGCGGTGAGGCTCGCAGAGCTTGCAGGGGCCGCGCAGGCTGCGCGGGACGCTGCCCCCCACCCGAGGCCGCCTCCACCGCCTTGCTGCGCGCCAGCTCGTACGCGTCAGCGAGCTGGTCCTCTCTGGCCCGGCACTCCTCCCAGTAGGCCTTCGCCTGGGCGGCGGCCTCGCTGCACTCCTCCCAGTACGCCTTCGCCCTGGCCGTGGCCTTGCGGGCGGCGTCGAGCGCCAGAGCTTCCACGCCTGCTGGCCTCGAGCCACCGCTGCAACTGGCGCCGCCGCGGGCCTCCTGGGCCCTCTCTCTCTGGCCCCCCTCTGGGCCACGGCCCGCGCTGCTGGTGCGGCTGCCGCCGCCCGGCGTGCTCCTGCCGGAGCTCCTCTCGCCGCGCCGGTGCCGCCGGCGCTGCCGCCGCTCCTCGTCTGGGACCGGGGGCGCCCCGAGGCGCCACGGGCCTCCTGCGCCGGACCTCCGGGGCGCCTCCTCGCGGGTCGTTCTCCCTACAGGGCGCGCGCGCGCGCGCCTGCTGCGGCGGCAGTCCGCGCGGCGCGTGGGCTTGAAGCAGAAGGACTGCAAGAATAAAGGGCGGGAAAACGGGGAGGGGCGGAGAGGAAACAGGCGGGGATGTGGGCGGTGGTGGTGGTCCCCTGCCTCCTGCACTTCAATCGTTTTCAGTGCTTCCCACCGCCCTCCAAGAACGACGTACATTGATAAAATGTGGGTTGAAGCGTCAGCTTGTCGATTCGGCCACTTTCGTAGTCGTATTGGCTCCGAGTCTTTGCGTTGATGTACTGTTTTGTGCCGGCGTTTCAGACGATCCTTGAGGGGTCGGCGCGCATTCGAGTGGGGTGGCACTTACATGTATTTGCAATGTACATGTTGTCTGCCTTCGAAGTAGACTTGTCAAGAGTGAATTCTACATTGATCGTCGATCTCACCTCCGAAGGGAGGGAACAACTGAAGATCTTTGGGTGCACTGATGGAGGAGGGGCAAGGGATGGGGGGATTGGGAGGGCAAGGGGAGACAAGGGGGGGCGGAAATGAAGTGCACGAGCGGGGGAACGAGAGAGTGCAAGAGCAGAGGTGTGTGTGTGTATGTAGATGTGAATTAGCCGCCGACACCTTGTGGGTCTCTAGACATGAGAGGGTCTTCCCCTCTATAGTCCCCCCCAAGCCCCAAACCGGAAATTCCATCACCCCCCCCTGGCCCGGAGGGCCCTGGGACCGACGCACCATGGGGAGATAGAAGGCCCCAAAGCGGGCCAATCGGGCCCCAAGAGGAATCGAACATGAGGTGGTAAACCGTACCATATGTTACATGTTAAGCGTGTGATAGGACCCCATGTCGTAATCATGCCATCGGTACGAGTAGGTAGATGAAAGAAAAAGAATGGGATGCGAGCAAACACCATCGAAGGATGTTTTCTGTTTCCCAGGTGCGATCGTGCATATATTAAAGGCGCGCAGCTTGAGCCACCATGGCAGCAACCGCAAGCGCGTCGCTCGTAGACTCGCCTTGGACCTCCGTTCGCGACGGGCCGCGTCAGGCTACATTATGTATAAACACATAACTATGCAAACAACGGCCAGGCATCGGGTATCTTTTTTGTTTCGGCAAGAAGGTCACCAACAATAAATAGTGAAGCGAGAAACGACTCACGGGGTGCATAGCCAACTGCCAAGCACCGAACTCCTGAACACGAGTCTACGTTGGGCCGTGACCGGGCGAAGCATTCCAGCATGGAACCGAACAGCCGTAGTAGCCTTTGAAAAGAAGCATAAGCACAATTTCGCACATGTTTACACAATGAAGCAATACACCATGCACGCTGCAATGTCAAATCCTCTCGTATTCAGAACAATCAATCAACAGCACATTTTAAAAAATATATACTATACTACAAACAAGCACTATAACTCACACGTGGGAGCTAGATACGAGCGCGCTTGGCGCGCGCCTAGGTTCTAGCAAGCTGTGGTTGTAGTCCAGCGTGCTTGGAATCGGATGACATCTGATTAATTATCCGTTCTTTCGGGATTTTTCCATGGGGGTCTTCGGGACTTTAAAGGTCCGTCTGATGGCCATCCCGGAACATCTTGAGGCCCTCTTGGGACGTATGGGGGGCCTCGTTGGCCTTCTTGCGCTCATCGTGGTTCGTTTCGAACCAATCCGGTGGCGTTGTAGCATCCCTTTCGGGCTATCCATGGGCGCCCTCATCTCCCTGGAGGGCGTGCTCTGCCGTCCAAAACCCTAAGATGGCTTGAAGACGGCACGAGGAAACCACCAGACGCCCTAAGATGGTCTCGGGGCGGCCCAAAGGGTTCAGCCAACGCGCCCCGAGCCCCCCAAGAGATCCCCAAGAGGGCCCCAAGATGCCCCGAGGAGGGTCACGAGATATCATCCCATATTTCCAACATCGGTTTTACAACGGCTGGGGGAGCTCGCGATCCAAACGCTTGCCCAGCCTCTCCCCAACGTTTGAGCACATACGCGTTCCCCAAAGGCAACAGACGGCGGTGACTCGCCGTAAGCTAGGCGTCTTCGACCCGTCGTCCATACTGCTTGCAACAAAGGTGAACGGCCTGCATCGTGCGGCTGGCCCTTCTCAACTAGTCCTTGTGGCCTTCGGCCCTTCCGCAACCGCCGCAAGCGCAGCGCCCCACGCCAAGGCAACTCGCCTCCAGCCCAGCCAACCTGGCCCAACGTGAACCTCAAGACGGGCCTGGGCGGCCCGAAACGGCCACAGGTGGCCTCCAAGGAGGAGGAGGAGGAGGAGGAGGAGGAGGAGGAGGATGAGGAGGAGGGAGGAGGAAGAGGAGGAGGAGGAGGGGGAGGAGGAGGAGGAGGAGGGGGTTGCCTTCAAATTCGCCCTCCATGCCTCCAAGGCGGCCAAGGCCGCCCGCAGGGGGCCCGAAACTTTCCAAGACAGCCTGAAGAAGCCCAATCGGTCGGGAGGGGACCGATTGTTCCAATCGTCTGATTGGTTTCCAGTCTCTCGCGTTGTCGGGTTTCGAGCAGCCCAGATCGGTCCAACAGCCTCAGGGTGGCCAAATAGACCCCACGGAAGTCCCGAGATAGCCGACGAGCCACAACATGGCCCCCAAGGGGCCCCAATGGGGGCCCCCAAACGGCCCTATACACAGACATCGGGGAACGAATCAGCCACTTGACCAACATCGGGAGCGGCCAAGAGGGGGGTGTCCAAGAGGGGGGGGTGCAAATCATGATCGGCGGCATGTGCGCGGCCCAGCGGGGGGGGCCAGGGACGTAATGAAATAAGAAGAGGCGCCATGAAACCGGAGGAAAAATCATGGCCCCCGCCATGATATCCACCCCCCCCTAGTCATCACCCCCCTCTTTTCCGCCCCCGACAACACCTGCGTCCGCAATTCTATCTTCGAGTCCGTGGCGATCCACGCTGTGCACGCCAGACGCCAACGCCGAGGTCGTCGCGACGTGAGCCTGCCGCAGCGGGTCCAAGATGGGCCCCAAGAGGGCCCCAGATACTCCAGATTTTGTAATAAAGAGGGGGGTCTCATTTCGGGGGGGGTCTCTTCCAGGCTATCTTGGAGGGCCTGGGGGGGTCTGGGGACGATGTTTTGGAGGGTTCTCCCACGGGGGAGGTCTGAAATGGCTTGTCTTGGAGGGTCCAGACCCCCTCCCTTTTATTACGAAATCTGGAGTACCCCAAGATAGCTCGAGACAGGCCGAGCTGGAATCCAGCTCGCAGCGCTTCGGGCCAGCAGGAGGTCCCAGGCGGCCTCCGAACGCCCAGGACAGCCTGAGACCGCTCGCGATGAGGCGAAGGGGACTCCGGCTCGCAACTTTTCGGGCCCTCGGAGGGCCCAAGACGGCGTTCAAGCGGCCAGGGCGGGCTGCAAACGGGCCGAACATAGTCGAAGATCGCCCGTGAGAAGGCGAACTGGAATCCAACCTGCCGCTTTTCAAGCTCAAGAGTTTGGGTGACCCAAAATGGGGTCCAGCTGAAAAGGGGTGGTGCAATAGATTTGGGGCAATTGTATCGCAAATGCATTGCGCCGGAGAATTGTATTGCATTGTATTGCAAGTAATGTATTGCACGCGAATTTCCAGCAATACATCTGCGCCCCGGATTGTATTGCACGCCCCAACTGTATTGCAACCCCACAAATCAATTTCACCAAATCTATTGCACCACCCCCTTGTCGCTGGACCCCCTTTTGGGTCAACCCGAAAGAGGGCCTAAGCGCCCAGGATAGGCTCCGAGAGGGCCCCAGATCGATCGAGACAGGGCGACCTGGCGTCCACTTTTCGGGCCTCCAGGGATCTATAGGGCGGCATCTCGGAGCGCCCAGGGTGGGCTCCACAGAGTGTCGCGAACCCGCGCGTTCAAGACCCCGAACGAAGGGGGGTCGGCGGAGAAGGTCGGATCGGGCGAAAGGGGGGGATAGCAAAGGGGGGGTTTGAGAATCAGCTCACGTAGCTGATTTTCCCGGCGCCTCTCGGCGCCGGAGGCGGCTATGTATCGAGGAATGGGCCCCTCGGTGAAGCCGAAACCAGCTGCATGCAGCAAATTTCGTAACCCCCCCTTTCCCAATCCCCCCTCTTTCGCCCGGCCCGAGAAGGGGGAGGGAGAAGAACAGGGGTTAGCCGCGCCGCGTGCGCGCCGCGCGCACGCGGCGGTACCTGCGCGGCAACGGCGGCCCCCGTTTGGCGAGAACGTGCCGTTCTCGCCAAGCCGGCCTCGACGGGCCGTTTTTTTGCGAGGAGGCCCCCAAGAAAAACACGGCCTCGGCGGGCCCCTGACGCAAGGAGCGCGTCCAAGCAGGCTCAGAGGGCCCCAGGACGTGCCACGAGGCCCCAGGAGGGGTCCAAAAACGCCTGGGACTACGCGGCGGTAACTGCGCGGCAACGGCGGCAAAGCGAGTCGACGAAGATGGGGAGGGGCGCCTGTCGTCGTCGTCGTCGTCGTCATCGTCGTCGTCGCAGTCGTCGTCGTCATCGTCGTCGTCGTCGTC